AGGCCCCCATATTAGAGAGAACTCAAAATAATTTGTTAAGGAGGATGCTTGGGGTAAACAATTCCACTTCAGCTGCAGCCGTCAGAGCTGAATTGGGACATTTCTCACTGTACACCTATACAATCACTAGGGCGGTAGCCTACTGGCTAAAAATGACCCAGATGGATGCCAGCAGACTCCCTAAAATATGTCTAGAGGAACAGCAGATTTCAAATCCTCAAAGGTATTCCTGGCTAACCCGGCTGTCAGAAATATTGAACCGATATGGCGTAGGGTTCCCGTTGTGTGACACACTGAACCAAGTTAAACAACGGATTAAAGATATACATGGGCAAATGGACATGGCAACCCTTTCAACTAATCATTCCCTTAAACTGCTGACAGCAGTTAAAACAACTTTCACTCTGGAAAAGTATTTACATTTAGAAATGCCATCAGTGGAGAGACAGTTATTTGTTAAGTTTAGATTCGAACTTCTAGATACCAACGTTAGATTCGGCTGCTATCGGAAAATCCCGTATGACAAAAGAATATGCATATGTGGGGTAAACGTCGTGGAGGACACGGCGCATATAATATTCGAATGTAGTCTCTATCAAGAAGTAAGAAAACAATATCTGTTCCCAATTATAAATAAATTTCCCCACTGGAATATAAGCCAAAAATTAGCATTTCTGTTGAGGGCTGACTCTCCTCCTCTGGTAAGAGCGATCACTCGATACCTTAAAAGAATGACGGCAATACGAGCCAGTTATATCAAAAAACATTTTATCGATTGTAAGGAAGATGAGCTCAGTTAGAGAGGAGCTATCCTATTTGGGTTATCTAGTCTTGGCAACTTAGCTATTGAAATTTGATATTGTAAAATTTTAATGTCATCTATCATATATTTTTAGATTGCTATTTTTGTAACTGTTTTATCTTTTTCCCTTTTTCTTTTCTGTTTTGTTTGAAAAGGCCTTCGGGCTATTCAATCAACTATACTATACTACTCAATTGAGCTGATCCACTTCTTTATTTCTGGAGATAATCTGGTCTTTTGGTCCCTGTTTTGCTCAAGGACATCCCACTGTGATGTGTAAAAGAGTAGAGTCTTATGGTCATGAACCAGCATAGGGAGGAAGAGGAGAAGAAAAATTGACATTTTTACTGATTCCTGATAACTCTGCAATTCTCTACACCATTCTGCATAATCTGAGCAGCCTTTCTCCACAGCAGGTTTTGAACTGAAGGAAAAATATAACTAAATAATAATCATTGCAAGCATAAAATCCACAACTTCCTTCAAGAGAATCTTTTGTTGAATTCAGGGTTCAGCTGCACGAAATAATTACTTTAAAATATATTATCAGTACTTACTGTGGCTTTAAAAACTTGATCCAAGTCAGTATCATCTTCTTTCCAGATCTGTAAAACCTTTTAAAATTTACAGAATTACCATTTTAGAAAGATCACAATAAAGTGTTTGCTAACTATTCCTCTTGAAGCTTGGAGAAAATCAAATACTTTTGAGATATATTTAAGATGATCAATCTTACAGTATTTGGTTTTAATGGCACACAAAAGTACTTGGCTGAAGTACTGAAATATATCTGCATATACTCTGGTAAAAATAAAAGAGTCCCTGTGGATTTTACCCTGCCAGTCATTGCCAACTATAGAGGGCGGTGCTCATTTCCATTTCAAGGCCATTGAGCCAGAGTTGCCTGCAGTCATTTCTGCAGTCACATGGCCAGAATGACATCACGAAGCACTGTTACCTTCCCACCAAAGGAGTACCTATTTATCTACTTACATTTGCTTGCTTTCTAACTGCTAGGTCAGCAGGAGCTGGGATGAGGATGGAAGCTCACCCCATTGCATGGTGCTTGGGTCTCAAACCTGGGCTGCTGGTTTTACAGCCGACAAGTCCAGTGTCTTTAACCACTGAGCCACCACGCTGCCTATATATTCTGGAGCAGCATCCAATACATACATCAATTAGATGCATGAAAGACAGGCAAAGAGATAAGGATGCAGTTTTGCTTTTCCTTCTTGTACTGACTTCCTGGCAAGAGAACTTATTCCTATTAACGTTTTGTTTCTTATCTAGGATTTCAACTTCACTTTACTAAGGAATAAAAGATCAACTTAATGGAAACAGACAACACATTTAGCATTCCTACAGTATGCAATGTCACAACATATTTATTTACATAGGCATTTCCCTTTCCTCCTTCCCTAGAGAAAATGGAAACAAACTTTAACTAAAACCTAGCATTAATTTCTAATAAGGTTCAATAAAACACTGAGAAAATTGGTACACGCCCGTAATCATATGGATTAGATATCATACCTTGTCATCATGAACAAGAATGAATTCTTCTGTTTGACTGTTCCATATGGCTGGACATGAAATTGTTTGCCCTTGTTTGACTGACCAGCAACCCAGTGGTTTTTGATCAGATACCTTGGAAAAAAGAAAGTTCCAAATAAAATGGGCTGCTCAGTAATTAATCAGTAATTAAGGAAATCAGAATAAAATATCACGATTCTGAGTTCAAATACATGGTTTGATGCCACTAGGAAAAAAAAAATCCTTTAAGCATTCTTTGAAACATTTAATAAACATGAAATATGGATTAATTTTTAAATCATAAGATATATTATTTTACATAATATCTGGACCCAACTGTGTTCAAAATTGGTATTTCAAAATTATTCAATTCAGATACATAATACTAACTTTCATTTTACTTTTTAATTCCTTATACAATTTAATTGTTAATCTATTTAAGAACTGTATCTCTTAAGGATGTCAATTTGCAGGTATCTTGGAGACTTCTAGTATCCAGGCTAGACTGTTTGGTTAGTACATGTCCAATCGCATACATTGACAACTTTAGTTTGCATGAATATAGGCAATGTAAGTCCCAAAATATGAACCTCGGTAAATCCCACTATCTAAAATTATTTGAATTATATTTGATAAGTGGTTTTCTTTACATTACAGTCTTTGCCTGTGTATTTTATTTTATACATTTCAATACATTTTTCTGACAAGGGACACTACTCTTAAAAAGGGCCCATTGCATGAATCTCTGGTCTAATTGAAGAAAACAATGTTTCAAGAAGCAGATTAAAGATTAAAGAAAGCAAAGGCCATACAGGTACTCCTCAATTTACAACCACAATTGAGCCCCAAATTTCAATTTCTAAGGAAGACAATTAAGTGAATTTTGCCCCAATTTTTCTCATCACAACTGTTAAGTGAATCATGGCAGTTGTTAAATTAGTAAACCAGTTGTTAAGCAAATCTGGCTTCCCCGTTGACTTTGCTTGTCAGGAAGTCGCAAATGATGATCACCCTGGGACACTGCAACCATCATAAATACATTGCCAGGTGCCAAGTGTCCAAATTTTGATCATTTGAAGCTGCAAAACCTTATAATATTAGTCAAAAACAATGCTAAAATGTCCTTTAAAACTTTTAAAAATTAGAATAAATGGTATGCATGCGTGTGCCTGTATGCAGGATACAAGTAGTTCTCAACTTACGATCACAATTGAGCCCAGAATTTATGTTGCTAAGTGAGAAACTTGTTAAGTGAGTTTTGCCCCATTTTACGACTTTCCTTTTCCTTGTTAAGTGAATCACTGCCGTTGTTAAATAAGTAACACGGTTGTGAAATGAATCTGGCTTTCGCATTGACTTTGCTTGTCAGAAGATCGCAAAAGAGGATCACATGACATGGCAACCGTCATAAATATGAACCAGTTATGAAGCATCCGAATGTAAATCACGTGACTACGGGGATGCTGCAATGGTCATAAGTCACTTTTGTCAGTGCTGTGGTAACTTTGAATGGCCACTAAATGAACTGTTGTAAATTGAGGACTACCTGTAGTGGGAATGGGACAACTTGCCACAGGCAATTCACCATGGTCAACTCACCAAAGCCAACTCGCCCGTGGGACAACTGGCTGTGGGACAATTTAACAATTCTATTTAATGATTTAAAATAATTTTATATAAATTTATATATTAAATATAAATTTATATTATAAATATAAATATTTACATTATATTTATATATTAAAAATTATTTTAATATATAAATAATATATAAAATTTATATTATAAATATAAATATTTACATTATATTTATATATTAAAAATTATTTTAATGTTTCTCATTCACATTTCGTTCTGTCCTTCCTTTTGCATCCTTTCTTTAATGATTCTATTCCACCATTTCTTTGATATTAGTGGAACTCTTGTCCCGCACCGAGTTGTCCTGAGGCAAGATGGCCATGGCCAGTTGTCTTGCAGCGAGTTGCCCATGGCAAGTTGACTGTGGCGAGTTAGCCATGGTGAGTTGGCCGTGGCGAATTGTCATAGACCCCCACAACCTGCGCCTTCCACAAGGCCAGGACTTCGGTGCCCAGAATCCCCCAGTCCAACAGAAGTGGCTGCAAGTTGTCATTTCACGTGGGTTAAAGAGGCACCCGGAGAAATCTTCAAAGCAGAGAGGAGAAATACCCTCTACGTGGTGAGGTGATAAGTACAGATTTCAAAGGGTCGCCACAGATTCGGTTCCATGGACACCAAACCCGCATCGCCCCTGCCAGGGTCGTCACATCACAGGGACTCTGCTTCCCAAGCACGAGGCTGCGCACTAAGAGCCCGGGCTCCCTTAGCCGCGTTAAAAGGGGCGCAGACGCCGCATCCGGGCCGCAAAGAGACACCGAAAATCCTCTCTCTCTGCTGCTGCTGCTGCAGCCTGTGGAATCGCCGGGATTTTCGCGCCCGGCTCGCCCATTTCAGCAGCCCTTGTGCGACCCCGTCTTTACCTCGCCGCAGAGCCCCAGGACCGCGGACATCGGCCCTCTCGCCTAGCTCCAGTGGTCTTGCCTTTACCTTATACAGCGTCACCGTCCGACCTCGATCCGTGACCAGCACCCGGTCCTCGTCCGGCGGCTCCAGTCCCAGCGGCGCCTGAGGGGGAATCCCGGGCAAGCTGCACAACGTGAACCATTCTCGGAAAGCCGCCATCTTGCAAAGCGCGCGAGAACTTGCAGGTCAAGCATCGCGAGAGGGAAGACCGCAATGCGCCTGCGTTACGATTCTCCCCCCCTCCCTCGCCCTTTCTCTCTCTCTCTCTCTCTCTCCCCCCCTCCTCTCCCATGCGCCGTACTCCCAGCGGTACGCAAGCGCAGTTGTGCCTTCTGCGGTGCAGGAAACCCTGCAGCGCTCCCTGTTGGAAAGCGAATGCGACGCAAGCGTTATAGAGTACATGGGCCAGATAGGTCTAGGGAGCTTTAACGTTGGATGAAGGTTAGTGCCTGGGATTGCTTTACTTCTTTCGGAGAAAGATGTATTGACCTGCCTATTCCTATAACCCGGTTTTCCCCGAAAAACTGAACCGTAAACTAGACATACAGGTTGGTTTTACGCAACAGGAAACTAGCCACTGATCGTTGTGTGGTGTGCAAACCCAATGTGTGTGTGGTGCAGTCTTTAAAGAATCTACTCGTTGTCTGAAGCTGGCGATGGAAATTTGTGATTCTGGTTTACTGCAGTGTATGGTAGCTATTGTGTGTTTTCAGTATTTTGGTATGTATTCTTATCGCTAACTTTTTTTTTTTTTTTGCTATGATGCTATGTACAACGTAGATAAAATAAATAAACACTGACAGTCATGATGCCAGTGTGAATCAATTTAATAAGATTTGAGCTGCGTTGTATTAACAGACAGAACCTTCATTACAGCCTTTAGGACAGAAAACACTACATAGGCATACAGGTAGCCCTTGAATTACGACAGAGGTCTTCAAACTTGGCAGCTTTAAGACTTGTGGACTTCAACTCCTAGAATTCTCCAGCCACCTATGCTGGAGCCAGCGTAGCATAAACTATCCTGGCTGGAGAATTCTGGAAGTTGAAGTCCACAAGTCTTAAAGCTGCCAAGTTTGAAGACCTCTGAATTATGACCACAATTTCTGTTGCTAGACAAGACAGTTTGTGACTTTTGCCCCATTCTACGACTTTTCTTGCCACAGATGTTCAGTGAATCACTGCAGTTAAGTTAGTAACACGGTTAAGTGAATCTAGCTTCCCCATTGATTTGCTTGTTAGAAGGTCGCAAAAGTAATTTATTTATTTTATTTTATATTTTAATTAGATTTATATGCCGCCCTATCTCCATAGAACTCAGGGTGGCTCACAACAATTAAGATATACAATCTCAATCCAAGTAAGAAACATGTTAAAATGCATATTAAACGCATATTAAAATACATTAAAAATCAAAACCCCATCAGTCCAGGCTGGGCAATTTAAACAGCCATGTCTTTAGTTTGCGGCGGAAAATGCGAAGGTCAGGGGCCAACCGGAGCCCCCGGGGGAGTTGGTTCCAAAGGGTGGGTGCGCCCACAGAGAAAGCTGAATCTCACCCGGAGGGCAGCCAATGCAAGTCGTGCAGGAGAGGTGTAACATGGGCATATCGGGATCCTCCCATCACAACCCGTGCGGCCGCATTCTGCACCAGCTGAAGCCTCCGAGTGGTCTTCAAGGGCAGCCCCAAGTAGAGAGCATTGCAGTAGTTAATACTGGAGGTGACTAGCACATGAGTAACTGCGTTACATGACCCTTGGACACTGCAACCATAATAAATATATGCTGATTGCCATTTTGAATTTTGATCACGTGACACTGGGATGCGGCAACGGATGCAAGTGTGAAAACGATCATAAGACACTTCTTTCCGTTCCATTGTAAACCTCAAATGGTCACTAAATAAATGGTTGTAGGTCTAAAATAAGAAAAATGATAATTAAAAAGTAGACACAAAGCAATAATATTAATATACCCTGTTTTCCCGAAAATAAGACATCCCCTGATAATAAGCCCAATTGAGCTTTTGAGTACATGCGCTAAAATAAGCCTCCCCCTGAAAATAAGCCCTCCCCAAAAATATTTAAACGCAGAACTGGAAATCAAGTAAAATGACAAGAGGAGCCCCATCTTGCTCCATTCACCCCAAAATAATAAGACCTCTCCAAAAATAAGGCCAAGTGCTTATTTTGGGGTTAAAAAAAAATAAGAGAAGGTCTTATTTTCGGGAAAACATGATAGAAATAATACAAATAGGGACAATCACCAAGATTAGTACCAGTTTTCATTTGTAAATGCAACAAATTGAATAAATAAAGGCATAGAAAGGGCCACATTGTCCTACATAGAATTCAGAGAGGCATCGTTTTATGTGGCACATGTCATCATTTGCCAACAATGCCCTGCTGGATTCTATGTAAGACAAACAGTAAACTTGGTGCAAAAGAATTAATGGACACTAGTTTTCTATTAAGAGAGCCAGTTTGGTTTAGTCAGTAGGAGTGTCCATCTTTGGAAACTTCAAGACTTGTGGACTTCGATTCCCAGAATTTCCCAGTCAGCAATTTGGCATGGTTGGCTGGGGAATTCTGGGAGTTGAAATCCACAGGCTTAAAATTGTCAAGGTTGGACAATTTTAAGACTTGTGCACTTCAACTCCCAGAATTCCCCAGCCAGCCATGCCGAATTGCTGACTGGGAAATTCTGGGAATCGAAGTCCACAAGTGGCAGTGGTTAAAGACACCTAGCTAGAAACCAGAAGACTGGGAGTTCTAATCCCATTTTGGGCACAAAAAGCCAGCTGGGTGATGTTGGGTCAGTCATTCTCTCTCAGCCCTAGGAAAGAAGCAAGGGCTTCTGTAATCTTACCAATATAACTGCAGGGAATAGTTCAGGCAGTCACCAGGAATCAACACAGTTTGGAAAACACACACAATTTGATATTAGGTTTCAAATCAAGGACAAAGTGGTATGTAAACAGTTTAAACCCCCTAGGATATTCCATCACAAAATAGCCATTTTCTGAAAAAAGAAACGTTACCAATACTTCCACAATTGAGCAAGACATGCTAAATACATCAACAAGTTTCCCAAAATGTTTCAACATGGATTTTTAAAAACACATTACACTTAACAAATTTGTCGATTGTCTCACATGTAATCTGCATCTGCATTACTAGCTAATCTTTTCTCTCTGCATCATTCCAGTTTAAATCCCATATCAGTTTAACTGTTTTGTGCAATTCATGAAGTGAACTGAATTTGACTCTGGTGTATTTCACATGGCACATTAGCCACAGTGAGGTTAGGTTTAGCAAATTTAGCAGACCATAGATTAAATTATGATTCGGACAGAATGCTGCCTGTTTTTGTTAACCGACAGTTAATTCCTGATTTGGAAATAAAAGCAGCCACAAAGAGGGTTTCTAAGCTACCATTGTTTCCACTCCAATTCCTGCAAAGCCAATTAAGATTATTCCCATCTGTCTTCATATCTGCCACCCTTGAAATGCCAAAATCCAGGATCATTGGCTTCCTTTGAGTTGCTGCAAATACTGCAGTAAAAAAAAATCCTCTCATCCCATTACATGGAAAACCAAAAATGGGGAAATTGCTTGTATGCACACATATTTTTATCCTGCCTTTATTAATTGATAAGCGACTAAAGGCCGTGATATACTTAATACTGCTTCCTCCTGTTTTCCCTACAACAACAACCCGGTGAAGTGGGCTGGGCTCAGAGAAGGTGACTGGCCCAGTCCCCCAGCTGACTTTCATGCCTAAGGCAGGATTAGAATTCAGAGTCTCCTGGTTTCTAGGCCAGAACCTTAACCCTACACCTTCATCCCCGACTTTATTTCAACTTGTGTGTGCTTGCCTGGTTGTATACAAAAAAATTACAGTAGTTTCTACGGTGAGGAATTGCAAACACATCAAGCCATTTTTATCCTTGAAAGCTCCAGGCTTGAAAGCATGATTTCCTATAAGCAGGGAAACTGACAGTCTGTAAACTCCATAGAGCCCACCTGCTTGTTTAAAATGCTTTTAATGCCCTTTCAGATACATTGTATACTTGAAAGCCAAAAATAAATGGACTCATCTCTTAAACTGCAATTGACACAGAATCCTGCTGTGTGTGAAAGTGCCCCAAACAGTAGAGGCTCCGGCTACTATTCCATTGTTCCCAGTGGTGAAATTCAATTTGTTTTACTACCGATTCTGTGGGCATGGCTTGGTGGGGCGTGGCTTAGTGGGCATGGAAGGGGAAGGATACTGCAAAATCTCCATTTCCACCCCACTCCAAGGGAAGGATACTGCAAAATCCCCATTCCCTCCCCACTTCTGGGGGAAGGATATTGCAAAATCTCCATTCCCACCCCACTCTGGGACCAGCCAGAGGTGGTATTTGCCGGTGTTCCGAACTACTCAAAATTTCTGCTACCGGTTCTCCAGAACCTGTCAGAACCTGCTGGATTTTACCCCGATTGTTCCTGGTTTTATCTCCCCGGTTGCAAACAAATATGTAAGATTTCAGCCGTTAATATAGTCATTTTATATGCTTGGCGTACATACACACTGTCTTTCCGGACTCCAGATTATTAGAAGATTCAAAAATAGCATCCTTTAGACTTTGGCATTATTCTTAATCGAGGGACAGTAGTAATATAGTTATAGTTCCTTGACAGGAAAAGAAATTCCCACTCATGTATGCGAAGGTTCAACTTTATTACATCATATCATGTTGCATACAATACTTGCTGAGCCTTGCAAGTGAACCCAGGTTTAGGTAATTAATATGGTGATTGACATTTAAATTGCAACTGAGACTGTTTTTGCCTGCTAGGGTTATTTTTTAATAAGGCTATTTCATGGATTATTGTTACTGTCAAGACTGGATACTGTTGTGCAGATCACTTGGCAGCAATAGTAACAGAGAGGCTGGACAGGAAATGTAAATAAGTTAATCATTTTCAAAATGTAATGAAAGGAAGAACATATTTCAAAAGCTCTTAGTCTGAAGTCAGGATGAAGTAGTAGTGAAAGAAATATTTTCATTTTAGACAATATGCATGCTTTTATTTATTTTATTTATTTATATCCTGTCTTTATTATTTTTATAAATAACTCAAGGCAGCTAACATGCCTAATACTCCTGCTCCTTCTATTTTCCTCCCAACTATAACCATGTGGTGAGTTGGGCTGAGAGAGAGAGTGACTGGTCCAGGGTCACCCAGCTGGCTTTCATTATTAGGGGCAATACATTGACTCTGTACACCGCTTAGAGAGGACTGTAAAGCACTGTGAAGTGAGTATATAAGTCTAAGCGCTATTGCTAAGGGCTATATTATATAATTTATCAGAATGCACATCCACCATTGCTGATTTTAGTTGGCACTTAAATTTCCTTTGATTTCAAACAAATCTACACATTTCAGAAATAATCTGCTTTACAGATAATATGAAACATCTTCAGTACTTCTTCTGTGGATTATTTTCCAATTTATGTCAGCATCTTTTGTTTCCATTTGTTGACTTCTGTTATTTGAACTTAGATGGATCAAAGAAGTCTGAACAGATGACACAAAGGAAATGAGGGCAGAGGAGAGAATGCAGTCCCTGTCATATAGAATCAACTCTCAGTGTAAAAGTTACACAGTCTTCTTTGTTTATTTGGAACGGGGAAGTAAATGTCTAGTTATATCATTCTAGTTTTGCCCAGATTTAAACAGAGGTGTACAGGAACACTGATCTAGAAACAGATCCAGCCTGTTCTGGATGAAGCTCCATTCTCTCTGAAGGTTCTAGCTATAAAGTTGTAGGATTTGGAACAGGACCTCCTTGCTGATGACATCCAGAAGTCTGGATGGCTCCTTTATTTTTTTAACCATAAAAAGAGTTTTTTAAAATGATAATCTTGTTAGATTTTGATGAGTGGTTTCCTCTGTACTTCTTCCATATTGCTGCTGCCTGTTACTGCTATTTTAAATTGACGAGCTATTTTTTAAAAACTGTTTGTTTTTTTAATGAGCTGTGGTTTTAATTAGTATGAACCATGGTCCCAAAGTAATATATTAACATTACTACAGTAGCAAAGCTACATAGGCATTGACAGTGGTGGAATTCAATTTTTTTTACTATTGGTTCTGTGGGCGTGGCTTGGTGGGCATGGTGTGGCTTGGTGGGCATGGCAGGGGAAGGATACTGCAAAATCTTCATTCCTACCCCATTCCAGGGGAAGGATACTGCAAAATCCCCATTCTCTCCCACTCCTGGGGAAAGGATATTGCAAAATCTCAATTCCCACCCCACTTTGGGGCCAGCCAGAGGTGGTGTTTGCCGATTCTCTGAACTACTCAAAATTTCCGCTACCGGTTCTCCAGAATCTGTCAGAACCTGCTGGATTTCACCCCTGGGCATTGATGATAATAAACGGCCTTCATATCATCAGCTTCAGTTAGCTTCAACAGGGTAGCACAAACCTTTATGTAAACAGTGTGTTTTATACAAAAAAAACCCTAAGTGTTGGAAAGAAGCTGTAAATTATAAACCACAAAAAAGGATTTCCTGACATAAACAGCAGAGTGCAGTGACCCAGCACATTCCTTCTATGCAGAAAATTCCAAGTTCAGGCTTTTTCATTTTAAATTAAAAATACACTAAAAAGCTTGCAGTGAAAAGGTCCTTATTTCTGGACTACTCAATAACAGAGGGATCAAAGGTCTTACTTAGCATATGATCATTGCTTATACACTCAACATATCTAAAATTATCATTCTCAGTCATTTGATTTACATTATGAATGAAACTGAAATAAGTCACCCTACAGTCATCCTTTATGACTTTAGCCTTAACTGACTGCAGAATTAATCCCATGTCTTCATCTCTGAATCCATTAATTAGACATATTATACATACAGAACATTATAGGAAGCTTCCCAATTGCCTAGATCTTACATTCAGAATGTCACAACTATTTGGCAACTGCTATTTATTATATAACTGTAATGACATGGGAATTACTTTATTTTATTTTACAAATGTATAAATGCCGCCCTGAGTCTCCGGAGAAAGGCGGCATATAAATTGAACTAATAAATAAATAAATAAATGTTATATTTTTCAAAAAGAAAGAAAAAAGAAGAAGGAAGGAAGGAGAGAGAGAGAAAGAAAGAAAAGAAAAAGAAAGAAAGAAAGAAACTCATACATGGCATTTCCCTTCCCATATTTTCACCACAACCAACAATGTTATGCGTAAATTGGGTTGAGAGTGACTGACCAAATTCTCTCAGGGAGCTTCCATAGTTGAGAATGAACTTCAGCCTGGCTCTCTCTAAGTCTACTCAAATACTTCCATTACATGAATCTTTTGTTTACACAAACAAAAAACATCTTGTATCTTAAAAGCTGACTTAAACTGATCCAAATTCATTTCATCATACATCTGATGAACCTATTTATTTATGATTGATATAGCACTCATTTGAGTAAACATTTGTTGGTCTTTTGAGGTATTCAAAAACAATTCATTGATTTGGCATCAAAAGTCCACCATGTCTTCCACTGGAAATTCTACCATCTACTTATTCTACTTATCCATCATTCAAAGATTCACCCTTTTTCCACCAGAGAACGTTCTAATGTTGGGTTCCTTTGGCATTATCTTAGATATTTTGACCCCATGGATTAAAGCTGAAGAGGTAATGCCTTAAATATAGCAAGATGAGCATTTTGCCATTACATGAATTCAGAAATGAAGCAAGGCAGTCTTGGAAAGAAGATTGCTTGTAGTTTATTTACAACAGAATGTAAGAAAAGGCAGTTTTACAAACAATAATAAATAACTGAAAAAGCAACAATTATGTACGTATGGAAACCATGAGACTGACTCTTCTATTCATGTCTTGTATTGTGTAACTTGGAGCATTTGGTCCTTCCTTCATTACACTAACCTTGTCACCAAAAAATAACAAACAAACAAACAAACAAAAAAAAACCCTCAGAAAACCTTACTACTATACATAACACTCAAAGTCACAAAGGTTGTCACAGAAATAAAACAAAAAACTTATTTCTAGAAGGAACATTTAAAAAAAAAACATAGACAATTGTAATTTTAAGACGATGCCGTCCAAACAAGAAGACCCTTCCCCACGATTAGTTTAGCTTCAAGCCTTTATGAAAACAGAAGACTGAAGGATGGTAATTAATGAATTCCTAATGACAAGTTCATGAAGCCTTCCCATCTTATGATTTAACTACCATGAAGTGTGTACATTGGATGTCTTTTAAACAACAGTCATGTTCTAAAGTTCCAGTGCAGCAAATCCCAACCCAAAGTTGCATGAGAGGAATTTTGCTTAACTGTAGGCCCTCAGCTAAGCATGAGAAGGCTAACTGATGTGTTTGGTCAGCCTCTTTTGACTTTTTCTGCTCATGGAGAGGAACCTCAGGACCCAACCCTATATGTGATTAAAGACACACATCTCTCTTATTATCGTTCACATAAAAACAGCAGAGCAATTTTCATTTCTATTAACAAAGTTTTAAAAAGTTTCATTAAAATAATGAAACATTGCCAATGAAATAGAAATCTGCAGTAAGAAAAGTTACCCAGAGCATTTCTATTCTAGATGATACCATTCCATTAGTAGTAACCTGATTTATTTATTATCCCACCTTTTATGAATAATTCAAGGTGGCAAACATACCTAATATCTACCTAAAACATACCTTCTCCTATTTTCCCCAGAACAATAACCTTGTGAAGTCTCTACCTGAAAATTGATTAGACTGTTTCTAGTCACTCAATATGAAATAATTGATCTAAACGTACACCAATTGCGGTATGTACACTGATATGTGAAAAACAGCTGGGCTCAAATGTATTTTATGGCAATTTAACAACTTTTGTTGCAAACTTTCTTAGCAAATATAACCCCATGAAGATTTCTAGCACATGTACATGGACTTTTAAAGTTCCGTGTACATGGAAAACATAACTGATGAAAATACACCAGAGTTTTCAACAATAAAGTTTGAGCAACTTTCTTGAGACTTTCATGAATAAACTTAAAAAAAGCTTTTCTTCTTTTGCTTAGGAGGCCCATGATGGGTCTTGAAATTTCAGGACCCCCCCTTCCTCTTCTTAGCAATGATCAAATGTTCTCATTGAAAAAAGAGGGAACAGGCCTAAGGCTCAAAAGCCTAGTCAGGCTTCAGTTTGCTTTGCTGCACCAGACTTTATTGAAAGTGCCACTTTGTTTCACAAAACAAATAGATAAACATCCACAGGTCTGATCCTCACAAAAAACATACAGCTAAAAATATACAGCAGATTCTGTACAAATTAAATCAGACAAGTCAACAATACAACTCAGCCAAACTTTTTTCCCATGGAAAAGACACATTAGTGCAACCAAAAATATGCTAGAAATTTAATTTAGTTATTCTTCTTGTGTCAGAAATATTTTTTTTTAAAGCAGATGACAAAAATCAAGAAAGAAAAGTAAATTGGATAATTGACTACTTTAGTGGCAAAACCTATGGAAGGAAAACAGAATGTGACAAAAGAGTGTAAAATAATTTGTGAAGAGCATAGGTGCCTGAGAGTGTATATGCTGAAGAAACATCCATTTTATTTTTGCTAATTCCTGGAAATATAGGAAAAGCAAAGAGTAGGCAGATTGACACATGGATTGTGTCAACCATCATTTAGACATGCAGAAGAATCAAATTTTGTCTATTCATTAAGCACCCAATTTGGATAGCACATCAAGTTGAACAAATAATTCTTGCTGCAGCATTGAGAGCAGAAAGTATCATAGAAAAGTCCTTTATTTTTCCATAGCATGCTATTACCTTTCATTTTTGTACTTTTATGCAGCCTTTTAACAAGCATATTCTTTATAACTGAAAAACACCTGATCTTATTCCCAAGCCAAAGTATTGAGGAAGAAGTGAAATAGTTAATATAAATCAACACAATGATTTGATGTCTTGGCTTATCGATCTGTGCAAGATTCTAACAGCAGATACAGGGAGAGCAACATTTGGCTTAAAATTACAGAAATTATCATAATTTTCTGCTAACTTAAAGCTGCAAACTCAGGGTGTATTTATGTATAGAAATGTAATAATAATAATAATAATGAAATGTATTAACAAGTGTCACACAGAACTTCAGAATGCTGAGCAAGACAGAAAAAGATATTTTGAGTAATAACTGAGAAAAGGCATGAAGCTAAATGATGGGGGAAATTAAATACAGAATTAGAGCTACTACATATTTTGAGTTTTCAAATGCACATAGTGCATTCTATGCTCCCACTCTTTCTATGACTAAAACCTAAACAACAGTTCTCTTGGTATGTACAATTTAAGTAAGAAGTCACTTGAGAGTTAATTGGAGATAAGTCTGCTACACTTTTTCATATGAAAATTCATGCTGCCGTGTTCACTAGAAATTTTTTATTATTCAAAGTTATCTTTATCCCCCCCTGAGGTCTGGATATATATTTCTATATTCCCCTTGTACTAATGCTATATGTTTATGACACTTTCACAATGATTCTAGTTTAGATGTGGTTAACTACTGACTTAATTTACTAAATTAGATTCTGAATGAATTGTAAGGAAAGGAACAGATGCCAAGTGTCCTAAATTTAACATGGGGAAGTATCTTTAATTCCTGAGACTGAAGGGTGATGGAATTAGCAGGCCAATATTTTGTCTCTCCAAACTATGTAGCTGGATGCAACTAATATCGCTTTCTGAGGTACCAAAAGCTAAAAGAAAAACACTTCTATTTTCATTGTTGGAAAATAATACAATTGAAAGAGCTCAGGAAGATGGTAGGTTGTTTTGTTTATGTCAGATTCCCACATTAACTGTTTTTCTCTTAAACAAGGACTAGACGGAGGCTTCTTAATGAGTTGTCAACTGTAGCAGTGCACCATGTTTTCCTTTTCATTTTGAATTCAGGTGCCGGCACAGGTAGTCTTTGACTTACTACTGTAATGGAGCTGCCCATTAGGGTCGTAAATTATGACAGTCGTACAGTGGTCATCCACATGATTGACCTGATTTTATGATCTTTTCTGCAGTGGTTGTTAAGCAAACCAGTTGTTTCCTATGAGTAGGTTTTGCCAAAAAACAGAAGCAAATACCACTTTTTCGCAAAAAATGTAAAAAACATGGTCCTGGGACGTGGAATGCTACAAACAGCCATAAATGCAGGTTGGTTGCTGAGTGGCTGAAATGCTGTCATGTGACCACAGTGGTGGTGATGGGGAATGGGGCAGCTGTTGGAACTTTGGAATCAGGTTGTAAGTTCCCCAAGGTGATCCATCCTAACTCTGAACAATCACTAAGAAACTGGTTGGAAGTCAAAGACTACCTGTATTCAAAGGAAGTAATAATAATGAGCATAATTGAAAAAAAGTACCTCTTTTGGACACAGCACTGATTCTCACTCTCTTGAGCATGATATACTAGACTTACTGGTAGACACACCTTTTAAAAAAATTGTTTGGAGCTCCCCAAGTTTTCTTTCTTAATTTTATTCATGGCTCGGCCTTACAATGTATTCACTATTTATATATGCATATGCAAGATTCTAAAAATCTTGTGTGTACGTTTCATTCTTAAAATCCTGTACGTATGTGCGTGTGCGTGCACATACACACAATTTTTAAAATGAGAGAAAGAATCCGCACAGTAAACCTAACATATTTTATGCTACAATCTGTTGCTTTTGTTTTAACAGGCCAGCATGAACACCCTCAGCAAAACTTCAAGTTGTTGAATAGATGAATGACGGCTCACAACGTTGCAAAAAATGGGCTGACTATTTAATGGGTTTTTCAATCTCGACTGTCATTAATTTCATAGGAACTCAGAAGACCTGAACTGAATTTTGAATTAATAATAGCATTGTTTCTTGGGATATATTTGTCCCATTTCGACTTTGGAGCCTATTTTATTTGTTTGTGTTTCCATTTTTCTTCCTGCAATAGGTCCCAGTTCTCCAAAACCAACACAGAAAAGTTTCACAACAGCACAGAATAAAAAGGAGTTACAAATTTTTGTGCAAGATACAAATAGTTCCAGGGTCTCTCGAAATGATTATAATTTAAGACAAAGCTAGAGCACGTTGGTTCTTTAATTTTTGAAGAGCTTAAAGTGTGCATTAGCTACACCCAAATCCTGAGTTGTAATCTGTAAAAAGGAATCTGAATCTATTAGTATTCAAGTGTTGATCAGTGAATCAGCAGTTCCAAGGTTTACTTTAAGGTGCATTCGGCCCGAGAGTAAAAAAGGATTTCAGAAATGGAGATATAATGGCTTGAAATGAGAAATGTAGCTAAGGAGAACCTCATTCTCTTGGGATGTCCTCACCAGCTTCATGAAATCCCTGTAATCCCTCTCCAGTCATCAACACTGCAATTTTAGATCTTCTGCTTGCAGCCATTACTACAAGAGACTGCTTTTGCTTTTTTTTTTTTTTTTTACAAGCTACTTCATTCTGGGTTGATAGCAACATTTGTCATATGGCTTAGAGCTTTAGTTTGGGAATCAGAGCACATGAACTATGACCTTGCATGCATTTAGCTAACTAGTTTCAGGGGAAGCCTAAGGGAACGGGGAAATGGGAAACGCATGATTCCAGATCAATATTTGTTTAAATCAAAACAACTACCATGAACTTTGCAAATGATATTCTGTCAGTCATAGCTTGTCATAAGGAAAAAAAGCCATGCTGGGTTTAGAGAGCATTTTTATCTGGATCTGGCAGCGTGAGAGTTTCTGGGGCAGACTTTTTCCGCTGACGATCTTTGGGAACCGTTAGGAATTCCGGTGCGTCTGTGGACAGAGGTGTAGACGGAGCACTAGAAGGAGCACTGCGGATCAGAGAGGGAAGGGAGATATTCGAGATGGATATCGCAGGAGGGAAGATTCCAATTTTCTTGTTGGTGGCTTCCTGAGTTGCTCGTTCAAATTCTCGGACTTCGTCCATAGTCATGTCTTCAAGGAGAAGGAAAAAAAGAATGGGTTAGGACAATTGTGCAAGTTGGCATCAGCACAAAGCTTTATTCGGGTGATGTGTCTTTAAGGAGTCATGCCTGTCAGTGTGTATATTTACTTAAGAGGAGATAAGGTCACTAGTTCAGAAGTGATGCTGAAATCTCAGGAGCCACATCTGAACAGTATTCATCTCACTGTTAAGAGTTGCTGACCACTGAAAGAAGACTCTGGGACTGCAAAACAAAACTATTTTTTTTACGATGAGCGAAGAACATAAGATAGCAACATTTGTTTATTTCCAGAATAACAGTAGTCCTCGACTTACGACCACAACTGAACCCCAAATTTTTGTTGCTAAGCAAGGCAGTTGTTAAGTGAATTGTGCCTCATTTTACCACCTTTTTTTTGCCATAGTTGTTAAGTGAATCACTGCACTTGAATTTTGTTCACGTTACCATGGGAATGCTGTAACAGTCATGAGTGTGATAAATGGTCATAAGTCACTTTTTTTCAGTGCTGTTGTAATTTCAGACGGTCATTAAATGAATGGTTGTAAATCAAGGATTACCAGTATATTTTAATCTGGTTTCATTCAAAACAAGGATGAAAGTCATAAAATGAAAGCTGAAAAAAACTATCGGAGATAAGACGGATTATATTAAAGTTTAGATAAGGAGAATAATTTAATTCTGTTATCTTCCAGATACAGTGTGAAATTTTCTGGGTACCCTTATGTATCATATGCCTATAGAAAAGCATATCAATGTTGTACTAAAAATAGTTGAAACCGGCCATGAATGGTGTGAATGAGTTTTAATGTTTTTAATTTTTAAATGTTTTTTATAATAATTTTAAATGCATTGTGAACCGCCCGGAGTCTTCGGAGAGGGGCGGCATACAAATTGAATGAATGAATGAATGAATGAATGAATGAATGAATGAATAAATAAATAAATTATAAATGAAGCTCCAGTGTTTTAAAACTCAACAAAAGTATTATTAAAAAATTATATACAGTTGAAAAAAGCCAACACACATTTCATTCCTAACATGAGAAGAAACTCAAGTGAAGGCAACAAATGAACAGTGCCCCCTGCAAGTTAAAATTGATTGAAAAATATATAGTGGCTTTTTTTCTAACAACCATGAATTGTTAGAATTGTTATATGTAGTACACCTGAAATAACTGCATGCCTAATTATGTCTATAACAAAAGCTCAATGTAGCCAGATCAGATTCTTTACTAACTGAAAGATCTTGGATTTTTATTCAGATACATAAAATATTACATCTTGAATAATTCCACCAGAGGGCAGAGTTACTTTGTTGTAATATGTGCTTCTTTCAAACATACATTACAAATTTCATACAGTAAATCTCTCTTTGGTTTTTTTTCCTTCTAACAGTTCAAAATTCAACATGGGTTCAGGAAAAGGTCATTTGAGGTTTCTGCACTTCAAGCCAGCCAGGTTCATGTTTTGAATATTGGGGAAGAGTTTCTTTAATCACAAGAAATTCCAGCTTCCTTTGAGTTTCAACTTTCCTGCAGTGAGCATGGATTCCTAAGGAAGGTAACTAAGAGAAGTTCAAACACAAATAACAAACATATGGTTGTTAGGAGCTGTTTGAAACCGTATACTCACGGAAAATCTAATTAGTAAAGTTTTAAATTACCACTCATCACTTCTGGGAGATGAATAGTGTGAAAGACTTAGAAAAGAGCAGTTGTTACTGATATCAATATTATGTGGCTTCTCAATAACTTGGATTAATGGCTGAAGTCACGACAAAAGCAAGAGAGAAGCATGGAAACGGAAGCCTACCACAAGATTGGCTTTATTATTTCTTGATTTCTTGATATTTACAGGTATTCCTCGACTTGCGAACACAATTGAGCCCAAAATTTCTGTTGCTAAGGGAGACATTTGTTAAGTGAATGTAGCCCCATTTTCAGTAGTGGGATTCAGCCACTTCACACCACTTCGGGAGAACCGGTTGTTAACTTTCTGAGCAGTTTGGTGAACTGGTTGTTGGAAGAAATCATTAGGGCAGAGAACCGGTTGTTAAATTATTTGAATCCCACCACTGCCCATTTTACAACCTTTCTTGCCACAGTTATGTGAATCACTACAGTTGTTAAGTTAATAATGTCATGGCTAAGTGAATTTGGTTTCCACATTGCTTGTCAGAAGGTCGCAAAAGGTGAACAATGCAACCAGCATAAATATGAGTCAGTTGCCAAGCATCTGAATTTTGATCACGTGATCCTAGAGATGCTGCAACGGTCATAAATGTGAAAAAGGGTCGTAAATCAATTCAATTCACTAAATGAATTGTTGTAGGTTGAGGGCTCCCTATATTTAATCTTCGCTGACAAGATAAAACTATCTATTTATTTATTCCAGGAAAACAAAGTTCAGACATATGGATCTATTGCATCAAAACTGTGGAGATAATTATGAAAGATTTTCAGTGCCTCCTGTTTATTGAACATTTATGCCAAAACAAACAGAGATTTCTTGTCCCTGTTCCCCCCACCCACTCTATGTCAAGGGCTAGCAGGGAAGGAGATACCCTTTCCATCTGTTTCTATTTTTGATCCTAATTTAGGATTATTTACTTTTGACTGTGTGAGATCTTAATACAGGTAGTCCTCGAGTTACATTTCATTTAGTGACCATTCAAAGTTACAACAGCACTGAGAAAAGTGACTTATGATCGTTTTTTGCAGTTACAACCTTTGTAGCATCCCCATGATCATGTGATCAAAATTCAGATGCTTGGCAACTGGCTCATACTTATGATCATTGCTGTGTCCTAAGGTTTTGCAACCTTTTGACAAGTGAAGTCAATGGGGAAGTCCAATTCACTTAACAACCTGGTTTCTAATTTATCAACTGCAGTGATTCACTTAACAACTGTGGCAAGGTAGGTTGTAAAATCGGGCAAATCTCACTTAACCAATGTCTCACTTAACAACAGAAATTTTGGGCTCAATTGTGGTCATAAGTTGAGGACCATCTATATGAAAAAAGAGAGCATACAAGGTACATTCTTATGAAAAATTGTTTGTTTTTTTTTGCAAGAATTCCCATTGCCATTAAACAATTGTTCTTTGTCTATTCCAATATCCAGCTACCAGTAGTTAAATTTATTAGATTTCCAAAAACTAAACCTGGTTAGTCTTTGGATGGGGGAGTATAAGAAAAACCAGGAAAGTATAATGGATGGTTTAAAAATAATTGTGAAGAAGGCAATGGCAAAACGTTTCTGTACTGTTGCCAAGAATCTTATCTATGAAGTCATCCAGAGCTGAGCTTGACTGAAGGAGAGTTGACTTTTCCTAAATTAATGCTTTTTTCCTTGGAGATAAAAGTGCCACTTCCATTTCTTTTTCCTTTTTGATTACTTGGTCCTTGACTGAAATTTAGTAATTTTAATGGAATAAGAAAGTGATAATGCCCTCTTGCATAAAATACCAGCCTGATTTGTACATAACAAAACATTATGTATTATTACTTAATTTTTTTCCAGCATGGCATGAAGAATGAACCCATCCATTATGTCTGAGTATTAAATGCCAACAAACTGGACCATTCTAGCTTGTTAAATAAACCAAAATTTAAAGAAGTCCTAGCTCAGTCATCTGAACCAGGATATTATCTATTTCTGAAGAAAACGATAGCATTGGGATATTAATTGCCTGAATCTGATCTAATAGATCACAGCCAGTGACAGAAAGGATTGTTCCATCAATAGGCAGAGCGAACAGGGACAAAACTGCCACATGGTGCATTCAGTTAAGCCTAACCTGACGATTTCATTTTCCTTGGAGATAACTCACTGCAGCTAAAGATGCATATGGACAAGCAGTGCATCATCCCTCGGGTTTATTTTTGATTCATAATTCAAGGATAGATGTAATCATCAACTCAAATGCCATTCACTTTGCCATGTCTATTTTTTTTTTAAGCGTAGCAGAACGTTCTTTCAAAAATGAGCACTGGTTTCTTGCTTTATTTCAAACACATACACCTTAAAGCGCCTTAATTTTTTAAAAAATCCCATTGTTAAAAAGACAACGAGAGATTCTTTTGACAAAAGAGAAAAGAAATGTTCTGAAGGCATCACAGGGAAATGCCTCTGTTCAGCCGGCTGAGAAAATTCTGAGAATTCAATTTTTAAGCAGCAATTATACATGGAAACGTGTGTGTGTGTGTATACATATACATATATACATACACACACACATATATAAACTTCTACTCTCAGCCAACCCACCAAAATATATAAGCTTGCAAAACCCTTTTCAACCTTGTGTTGATCCTTCCAAAACTTGATGGGGAAAATGGCATACGAGAGGCAGACAGTGGCAGTGACCAGGCCTACTATTCCCATAGCAATCTCCTAAAGCTCAGCATGTTCTGTTCCTTGTTTGCATTAGGAGATGGTGGGCAATATTTTTAAAGGCACTACATACACTTCCTTTGGCATGGCTCTCTATTTCATCCACAGGAGATGAATGTTGATTGCACACTTTAATGTTCGTTTTTTCATGCATATTTTTCTCAAACTCTCGAACATCCCCGAAAGTCATATCTGAAAAAAGTTCAAGACGATGGGACCTTCCATTAATTTCAAGCTCAATTTTTAATCAAAGGAAGAATTCTAAGGGGGGGGGGGTGGGGAATCCTTCCTAGCAAAAGCCACAAAGCAGGAAGCCAATTCGGGCATCAGTAGGCAAACAGCTAGATAAACCAGCCAAGGAAGGTGTTATAAGAAGGATCAGTTAAAAGGAATCACACAGTATAGGGATTTGGAAAGTGGTTATTTCTGTGAAATGAGCTAGGCAAGAAAAGTGCAGGGTGCAGGCTTTGCCAAAGGCAGACATCTTCTAAAATAAATTTAGAAGATTTCCTGGTGGAAAAAAGAGGAAGGGTTAAAGAACAGCTGAAAAATCTACTTACCTTGTCAGGAACTTTGCAACACAATTATAGAGTACTACTTTAATAACATTATGCTCCCTATCAATATATGAAATTGTTTTCACACTACCTGACTCTAAGGGATATGGAACCATGTAGATCAGGGCTGTCAAACTCCTGGGCCATGGGCCAGATGCGTCACACGCTGGCCCCACCCGGTTTAGTGAAGGGGAACAAAGTCCCAATATGTCATGTGACGACGCCGTGACGATGTGACTTTGACACCCCTGATGTAGATTAATAGCAGAGTACTGGTGAATAATAGATTAACTGAACATTTTAAATGCTTTGATAGTCAAGCTACCGTCAGTATCTCTTCATTTTTTTATTGTAAGGCTGTCCAGTAGAATTATATACAGTCCAGTTCTCCCACAATAGTGATAACATGAATATGTGGGCAATATTAAAAATATCTACAGGAGCATGCGCATATTGAATTTTGTTTTCTCCTCTGGAGGAAAGAGTGTTCTTATATTGCAGTAGATGCCATTGAATTATATTCTTTTAGCACTTTCCTGTTTTAGCACATTCAAGTAATTCAACTCTCATAATACGTTCCATTAGTATTTATATGATTCACATATCACGTTTTCCTTTTTTCCCTCGCTTAAAATTAAGGAGCATTAAAAGGCACTGATCAAAGAAGCTTATAAGCAATGGGACCGGCATGATCAGAAGCATTTCTGCCAAGCAGTATTCATGCTCTTCATTAGCAACTTTGAAGTTAATGCAAGAAGGCTGTCTTATGACAAAGCTAACGGTGTATTAGTCAACAATCTTACACATGTCTACAGGATAGTAAGTCACACTAAAATCATGGCAACAGGTCTTTGTAAACAAGTTTAGGATTGAGGATTAGTCTGCAATTAGAAGATGAAGCACTTGCGTCAACAAAATATGCATTTCAAAATAATTTAGATCCTGAGCAGTTCTATATTAGTCCAGGGACTTCATTTGATACCTCTAAGAAATTCTAATTCTATACATTCAACTACTGTTATTCAACAATAATAATCCAAATACAGTTGACAGGAAAATGTAAGTGCTCATGATTCTCATGTATTTACAGTAATTATTTGGGGCCTACCAAAAAGTTATTAGCACAATCATCACAGGGAACTCAGTTATAAGAAATGGGGAGCCTGCTATTTTTCTTAAAAGCTAAAAAAAAAAGGACTTTTGCAACAAGACATTTATGTCAAATGATAAAACAGTGGAAAGCTATTCTCATGAGAGAAACAAACTCCAGTGATATTTCCTTTTAAAGATTTATCCTTTTATACCTAAATGAAATTTTAATCTTTGAAAAGTGGTTCAGGCCTGGATAATAAAGGCTGGCTGGGAGGTTCAGTTATAAATCTGAATAAGTATTGATTACAGTGCATTTAATGGAATAAAATGTCAACTTTCCTTATGACCAGATTCATTTCACTATCCTTTCCCTATTCCATGTTTTCTAACTTAGACAAAAAGGGACTTGATTGATTTCAAATATTTATTACAGTGAATAACATTTTTATTTTATTAAAGAAAAAATAAACTTATCTAATATAAAATAATATTAATTTTACTGAAGTTTACAATTTATTCATTATGCTAATTTTTATAGTTGATATCTCTTTACAATGTACATTTAAAAGCTTAGTTATTTAATTGGTTTATTGCATTTATACCAATGTATATTTATATTTTGAAGGGACGTGGTGGCTCAGTGGCTAAGATGTTGAGCTTGTCGATCAAAAGGTCGGCAGTTCAGCGGTTCAAATACCTAGTGCCGTGTAATGGGGTGAGCTCCTGTTACTTGTCCCAGCTTCTGCCAACCTAGCAGTTCGAAATGCAAGTAAAAAATGCAAGTAGAAAAATAGGGACCACCTTTGGTGGGAAGGTAACAGCGTTCCGTGCACCTTTGGCGTTTAGTCATGCCGGCCACATGACCACGGAGAAGTCTTCAGACAGTGCTGGCTCTTCGGCGTTGAAATGGAGATGAGCACCGCCCCCTAGAGTCGGGAACGACTAGCACATATGTGTGAGGGGAACCTTTACCTTTTATATTTATATTTATCATTCACTGCAACAAATCAGTAGATTTAAATTGCATCAATTGAATGAGGTCTTTCAACCCATTTCATAATCTTCAATTTTTCTGATCCATGAATGCCCTTATTCAGCATAGAAGTGAACATTATGAACCAGGACAGAAACAATACAGAATTATGATTTGGAGCTTGGAAGAAAGCCATAAACTTGAATGTTTGTCTGTCTCAAGTTTGGAGAAGTGGAAACTTCTGTAGAATTGTTGCTTGGCAAGGATATCCCTAACACAATTAATGATTTCTATTTCTCCTTTACTCTACGCACTCAAGGCCACCCATATTACTGTCTCCCTTCATTTTATCCCCACAAAAATTCCCTAGCCTTATATAGATTAGTTGAGAGACTGATTGGCTGAAACTCATCCAAGTGTTGAATTTCCATGATTGGGGATAGACTGGAAACTATTCCTAGGACATCTTAGCCATTACATCATGGTGCTGGTGTTAATATTCAAACTATATATTTAATATCACAATTTGGGTTTTAGTACTGGTCTTTAAAACAGGTATGTTAGATTTGAACCAGATAGACTTAGAATTTACCGGTAATTCAAATTAAAGTTGCTACTTAGAGTTACAGATACTAAAGTACACATTTGATAAAATTACGAAGCCAGCATTGCAGCAGGGTTGTACCCAGAGCTGCAAGCAAGTATAAACATTCTAAAATTCTTAGCATTTTGTCTGAAGGCTAAAACACCCTCTCCTCCATGTTAACTATTCTAATAAAAACAACTTGAATAAAAATAAGCAGGTCACTCAGTACATGTCTGAAATAGTTCTTGTGCTTCTAAATAGTTCTCTTAAAAAAAAAAATGACTTACCATACCACTCATCCACCCACGCAAATGCTTGTCGGTGACCAATTAGCAATATGTCTTTGACCACCTAGGAGAATTAAAAAAGATTTAAAGATTGAGAGGACAAAGAGCCACAAACAATAGTTTGTGGTAGAGGTAAAAAACATGGAGTATCAGGATCACTTAAAGGTCTGTGAAAGCCTTAGGGATGGTCTTCGGAGACCTTCAGGAACCGTTAATTTGGTTTTCTAATCAGAGAAAACCATGAAATCCAGGGCTGGAGAGTAGAGTACAGGTAGTCCTCGACTTACAACAGTTTGTTTAGTGACCGTTCAATGTTACAACGGCACTGAAAAAAGCGACTGATGACCGTTTTTCACATTTATGACCATTGCAGCATCCCTGCACGTAGTCATGTGATTTACACTCGGCTACTTAACAACTGGTTCACATTTATAATGGTTGCAGTGTCCTGGGGTCATGTGATCCCCTTTTGTGACCAGCAAAATCAATGGGGAAGCCGGAGTCACTTAACAAAGGTATTACTGATTTAACAATTGCAGTGATTCATTTAACAAAAAAGTGGCAAAAAAAAAAGAGAGAGAGAGAAGTGATAAAATGGAGCAAAACTCAAATTTCTCACTTAGTAACATACATTTTGGGCTCAACTGTGGTCGCAAGTCGAGGACTCCCTGTAATGTTATTTCAATATACTTAAGTTGGAGCAGAGGGTTCCTTTTGAGTATACAGTGTCTTGCCTGTCTGTCCCAATGTGGTTTTACCCCAGAGTCTGTTCATTGCACAATTCTATCTCTGCTTCTGGGAATCCCATTTTCAATTTCTCCTTTGCAGCCAAGTGACTTTGACTTCCCAGCAATTTCCCACATTGTTTACACTATAGTAAGCAAGTCAGGTGGAGAAGGTTGGTCTTTGTGCTTGCCTTTGATGTGTCCCCCCCAAACTCTCAAATCTTCTGACAAATATTTTATCCTTTCTGTAGGGTACCATCCTGGGAAGGAACAAAAGCAGCAACAACAGCTCTGCTTGAATAAAGCCAACAACATGAAAACATTCCTCTCCCAGGTTCCTGAAGATTGTAGGCAGCCTAAGAGAATTCTCACAACTAGAACCAAAGTGACAAGCTGTTTGAAGCCTAGATCATACTTTTTCAATTGTTTTTTTTTTTCACCTTCAAGAGCCACAGAAGACAAGGTGGTAACAAGCTGAAGCCATTAGAGGGCAGCACCCAATTTTACCCTTTGCATCATTTAGGTTTTGAGAAGTTCTGTAAAACTGGCACTTTCCAACTGTCAGAGGCTTAAGAGCTCTACTCTATTGGTATTTTGGGGGTGAGGTGGGGAGTGACAATTATGTCTCTGCTATTCAACTGTTTGCCCTCATGAGAAATTAGGAAGGTATCAAAAAGATACGGGAATTCATAGGGACTGAAAACTGATTTCCTCTTATGGTGAAGTTGGTGAGTGACTTTGTGGCTAGAACTAAACACCCCTTAACAGACTTACTATTAGCTTACTTTCCCGACTATCACATAGGGTGAATGATAATTTTTTTGGCTTAACATTTTTATTGAGTTATAAGATAAAATAAGATACAAAATATAAAAGAAAATAGGAGAACAGTGGGGAGGAAGAGGGGGAAGAGAAGTGAGGAAGAGAAGTAGGGAAAAAAATAGCAAGTAATAGTAAGGTGAGCAAGGTTTGTGCAGTAAGAAGTGCACATTATTTTTGAGTAGCTAGTTGGAAAAACATGTTCCTGCCTTGTACAATTGAGTAGAAGAGAACTAGAGTCATGGCAGCAGGCAACTTTTGAGGGATGGCTCATAAAATAACAGCATGCATTGCATTTTCTATTGAATCCCAAGACATAAAACAGTATATACAAGTAGTCCTCGATTTACAACCATTTGCTTACTGACAGTTTGACGTTACAATGGCACTGAAAAAAGTAACTTATGACTGTCACAGCTTCTCCATGGTCACGTGATCAAAATTCAGATGCTTGGCAACTGGCATGTATTGACGATGGCTGTCCTGTCCTGAGGTCATGTAATCATTTTTTGTGATCTTCTGACAATCAAAAGTCAATGGGGAAGCCAGATGCATTTAACTGACTTAAAAGCTCAATGATTAATTTAACAACAGTGGCAAGAAAGGTTGCAAAATGAGACTAAATTCACTTAAGAAATGCCTTGCTTAGCAATGGAAATTTTGTGCTCAATTGTTGTTGTAAGTTGAGGACTACTTGTACCTATATACTAAGATACAATCTTTTAGTAGATGGGGTACTATGTTTGACTTAGTGTTAAATATTTCTGTTTAAAACAAAGCAACATGACCCCTGATATACGGTATTTAGTTTTGCTTCTAAATCCTGGGGGAGGGTATTAAAATGGGGTATTTCGACTCCAGGCAACCTCCTCTCCAAAAAGCAAGTCAAGAATTTGGACATAATTCATAGAAAGTGAAATTTCACTATCTTTGAAACATGGAACAGCTGTTTATCATCAGGGTAGATTTATCTGGACTCCATGTATAATCAGTTAGATGCAAATAATCATCAGAAATAGTCCTGCATTCCTTGAAAATAACATCCATATCCTCTTATATTCTTCAGAAATTCCTTTTCCATTTTGTTCTTCTTTGTCTCTTTCAGACCTTCAATCTAAGATAAGCCAAAAATGTGCAGAATTTGAGGACATAAATTACAAGCAGATTACATTAGCAAGTATTAGCTAAGGATTTATCTCTTTCTTTCATGCACATCAAAGGCATCAAAGGGAAGAGAAATGTTGGTTAGTTTCATTTTCATGTGTTCATTTAAACCTTCATGCAGGTTTCTGTCAAAACAGAATAAAAAACAGTGCTGCAGTGGGTCAGCAGCCATGGTGCTTGTCAGCAGAAACTACCTGAGAAAGTGTTAATCATTCAATTTTGGAAGAAAATTAGGGTTGGTAAATTGAAATAATGACAGGGCCTCTAATAAAGCTTTGTATTCTGTCAATAGGATAAAGCTAATCTGATGGGATTAGAGCCAAGGAACTGGCACAACTTCCTTGAACATAAATACTTCAATTGTACAACTTAATTGTTTTTAAGAAATACGTAAAAGGAAATGATATTCATTGAAAATGTGTGTTGTATAGAGAAAGTGGACAGAAATAATTTATTATTTTTTTCTAATTACAGGGAGATGGACTCAAATGTGGCCAGCTTAATTTGGCAATTCTCTATTCGCTGGGTTGGTGGTGCCCACAAACTTGGCAGTTTTAAAAATGGATTAGGTAAATTCATGGAGAAGACAAAGGCTGTAGGTGATCTCCAGGACAGGAGTCATGATTTGCCTCGACATTTGAGAAGACATCTTTCTTCTTTTCTTCTTAAAAGAAATCTTAATTATTTTGATTCTGTATCTTCAGAATGACATGCAATTCTGAATTCTGGAAAACCAAGTCTACCAGATACCGCTAATTGCTTCTCTTGTTATGAGCTTTCAGAAGGACATAATTCATCTCAGTTTTAACTTTTCCCTTTCAGCTCCTGCCCTAACTTCTTTTTGTTGGCACTGTTTCATAGTTCCATTGTTTCTTTTTCTGAGTCACTCATTCCTTGCCCTCTGGTTGCTTTTAATTCTGCCATCCTTAATTCTTCTTTCTCTTTTTCTTTCCCTTATACACCACTTAGTGAAAGCTCAATGGATTTATAAATGGATTTTCATATATAAATTATCATGGTGGATCTCAACCAGGCCGAAATTTGCAACATCATGGTAAAGCATGTAGATTTTCATGGAAATCATTCTCATTATGGTTAAAGAATGTTATATTTTGGAATAAATGTACACACTATTTCCTGGTTTGTTTTTTGCATTGTTTAGTAGATATCCTTTGTGGTTGTGTTTAATCCTTGAATCAATTTATTGCGATCCTGATGTCATGCAAACTCTGTTTCAGTTTTGGTGGTGTTTTATACATTAGGACCCTGAGAAAACATAATCAGAGAGACTTTCCTCCCCAGGAAACCTCAATCCTTTCTATAGTTTTATAATATCTTGGCAAGATAGCAATATGTACCCTGCGTTTTTGTGTTTCCTAGCTGGCTAACAAACTGTATTCTCCTTATTGTGTTAGAGCAACTATTTTGAGGATGATTGGCATGAATTTCCTGTCTCTCTCTCTCCTAAAATCCTGATACTTCCCTTAGGAATTAATCAATGACTGAGCAAAACTAGTCACTAGTAGTTCACTTCCCTTGAAGCTATGAGAAATCAGGACAAAGTGTATATGCCATAGCTCTGTAGTGGATTAAACAGGAAAAACTATTTGCTTTATTTGTGATGCACAAAAGACCAACAGGATTGTTTAAATCATGAGCTGATATGAGGCCTACATCACAGGATCACAAGGGAACATTAGAGTTGGCAAGGTAGTCTGATGCCAAAGTAAGTGGAAAGTGACTAAAAGCCAGAGTAAGTAATTGTAAACATTTGTAAATATAATCACATCAACTTTTTGAATAATGCTCATTGCTGATTGTTCAACTTGCCAATTTTTTCTGCACATAAAAGCTGTACAGGATAGGCCGGGGGCGGGATGCGAACACTGCCCTTTACTCACCTTATGAACAAACTGCTCAACTCGAGTCTGAAGTCCCCATACTTCAAATTTCACAGATACAAGTTTGTAGGAGCACATAATAGGGTCTTGTGTTTCTCTCCAACCTTCTTTTAATAGACCTCTCCCAGTCTTCTCTGATTTGAAGCATTTAGGATCCTATCGAGAACAAGAAGACTGAGTGAGCAACCTAGTTAAGAAATCTACCTTTGAAAAAAATAGAACCATTTCTTGTTACAGGTAGTCCTCGACTTACGACCACAATTGAGCCCAATTTTTTTATTGTTAAGTGAGACATTTGTTAAGTGAGAATTTTACCTCATTTTACAATCTCTTTTGCCACATTTGTTAAGTGAATCACTGCAGTTTAGTTAGTAACATGGTTGTTAAGTGAATCTGGTTTCTTCATTGACTTTGCTTGTCAGGTCACAGAAAGTGATCACGTGACCCCAGGACACTGCAACTGTCATAAATATGAGTCAAATGCCAAGTGTCTGAATTTTAATCACATGACCATGGGATAACGCAATGGTCATAAATGAAAAACGGTCATACGTCACCTTTTTCAGTGCCGTTGTAACTTCGAATGGTCACTGAATGAACTGTTGTAAGCCAAGGACTACTTGTACTAGTAAGACTGGAACTTCACAACCTTATTTCTATTTATGTCAGGAACAATGTTCACTTTGTGTTTCTTTTCTATATTTATTAATATTAGGGCTGGAAACTGGTTGCTTGGAAAAGCAGACTGGAGATTTTAGCAAAACAACTGTATTAATCCCAATCCTTATTCTTAAATCATACTTAAAGCATTTTTCTTAGCCCCATTTAACATTATCTCTAAATTACATTTGTGAGTTTGGCAGCCACATAGATGAAATGAAATGAAATAAAATAAAGGAGGTATAAGCAAAGAAAGAACTGAACTGTGGGAGAAGGTGTTGATTGTCAGGTGAGAAGATTCTTGCAGCACAGGCTACAGTAATGAATCAATAAATCTTCACGAGTGGATGTGCCTGACATGATGTAAGAGATGACCAGGCTGAGCCTGAGAGCAGGAGTCAAGTACATGAATCAGTTTGGAGCTGGAGTGAAATTCAGCAGGTTCTGACAGGTTCTGGAGAACCGGTAGCGGAAATTTTGAGTATTTTGGAGAACCGGCAAATACCACCTCTGGCTGGTCCCAGAGTGGGGTGGGAATGGAGATTTTGTAGTATCCTTCCCCTGCCATGCCCACCAAGCCATATCACTCCAGGCCCACCAAGCCACACCCACAGAACCAGCAGTAAAAAAATGTGAATTCCACCACTGGTTTGGAGACAAACCAATGTAAGAGACCTATTTCTAGCCTTGAAGTCTATTGACTCATATCTCGCACCAATTTGCCTTGACCATTACTAGTTCAGGTTCTTGTTTATAGGTAGCATGGAATAAACTTGTATTTCTTTTGATTCTGTCCTAGTTCCTAACTTCTTGTACCTGATGCATGAATCCAACTGGAGCTCCCTATGTCTTGGGATAGGGCCTGACATTTGCTTAACAACCACGTGATTTGCTTAATGACTTTCTGTAAAAATGGTTGTAAAATCAAGTCCGGTCAAATGATGCCTTGACTTATGATCAAAATGTTTTACGATCAAAATTCCAGGTTCCACTGTGGTCATACGTCAAGGACTACTACCTGTATCTTCTTGGGTATAAAATAAAAATAGCTTTGCAATGTTTAGTATACATAGTATAGTTACGTTAAGCTGTACAAGGATCAGGGCAGAGGTAGGATGCTGATTGGGTGTTGACATTCCAGTTCAAAATTATAAATATAGGCTAAAAATGAACACATTCTAATAAACTTCTAGCAAATATTATTTCTGTTGTAAATGTATTTGTTTGTTTGGGGCAGAGTAAGATTTACTAATAGGTGAGATCTTTTTGAAACGTTTAACCTGCTTAAATACCCTTTGGGTTAATGGATAATGTATTGCACATTTTAATTTTGATCTTTCGGGTAGATTTGCAACTAGTTTAGGTAATTTTGATACCAGATAATTCTCTGCTTTCCATTCTCCAAGTGCTCATCTCATTCATAATCCTGACAATCTAAAAGAGCTTCTTCAATGTATTTGGAAATACGTTTTCCAAAATATATTTGGCACACTCCTTTCCTCCACTCCCACACCAAAAATAATTACATTTGGCAGCTTCTTTTTTCCCCCTCCCTTTGATTCCAAAGCAAATAAAGCGCAGATAAAGCAGTGCATCTGCCTTGGGAGCGCTCAAGGCTTGAAAGTGCTATTTTAAAACATCCTGTGCTTGGCATCACAATGTACTGAAAACATGGAGCAATTTGTGCTATTTGGAAGGAAAATTATTCCATCAAAATGAGTTTGCCACATAAATTATGTTTGACTGAAGTCCAGAAGGGAGCAAAGGAGAATTCTAACACAAGTGATTGAAAAAGGTTTTTAACATAGCGCTTGCAGAACAATTATAAAGTGAATCTTAAGTTAAACATAAGTGGGTTGTTTTGCTTTTCACAGGTACTTTATGACAATAGGGAAAGAACACAGTGAAAAATGTGTGCATGAGAAAACTTTAACATGGCAAAAGAATTTTACTGCTCTTGAAGCCTTAGGAATATAAATGGTACCACAGATATTATAAGAGAAACTCTGTATGCTTAAGGGAATGTATGTATGTGTGTATATGGGTGTCTGTACATCCACACATACATCCACATACACACTAAGGCACCTGACAATTTTTTTTTTTTTAAATTTGATTTATATGCCGCCCTTCTCCAGAGACTCAGGGCGGCTTACAATGCGTTAAGCAATAGCCTTCATACTTTTGTATATTTATACAAAGTCAGCTTATTGCTCCCACAAACTGGGTCCTCATTTAACCTACCTTAGAAAGGATGGAAGGCTGAGTCAACCTTGAGCCTGGTAAGATTCGAACCTGCAGAAATTGCAGGCAGCTGTGTTAATAACAGGGTGCATTAAACCACTGTGCTACCAAGGCTCCTGTTTCCAAATTGCTTTGGAAAATCTTGCAAATCTGTGATATAGAATCTACTAATCTAGACAAAAATAATAATGAAATACAGGTAGTCCTCAACTTACAACAGTTCAGTTAGTGACCATTCAAAGTTACAACGGCATTGAAAAAAGTGTCTTATGATCCTTTTTCACACGTATGACCATTGCAGCATCCCTAGGATCACGTGATTAAAATTCAGATGCTTGGCAACTGACTCATATTTATGATGGTTGCAATGTCCCAGGATCACATGATCAACTTTTGCAATCTTCTGACAAGGAAAGTCAATGGGGAAACCAGATTCACTTAACAACCGTGTTTGTTAACTGATCAACTACTGTTGCGCTCAATGGTCATCGTAAGCGGAGGGCTACCTGTATTACATTTATAAAGTAGAATTTTACTGCAGGATTTCTTCCCTTTATTAGTAAACTAGCATCTATCTGTATGCATCTGCTAAGCGTATTCAGCTAGAATCTAGCCTGGAGGAGACACACACCTCTGATATTTCTTATTGCACACATTTCTTGTTTATAGTTTAGTCAATGAAGGGTGCCGAAATCAAGATTCCAATTGGGAGATCTCAGTTGACTTCATCAAGCTATTGTTGCAACATTTTTATGATATCCTTTTTTGTTATTGGATTTGGTGGTTGTTGGATTTTTTGGTTAGGTTTTTTTTTTTTTGGCTATTGTTAGATTTCTGCTGCTAAGTAAGATATTTGTTGAGTTTTGCCCCATCTTTCTTGCCACAGTTGTTAAGTGAATCAGTGCAATTAAGTTAGGAATACAGTTAAGTGAATCTGGCTTCTACATTGACTTTGCTTGACAGAAGGCTGCAAAAAACTGATTGCATGACCATGGGACATGGTGCCCATGATAAATACGAGCCAGTTGCCAAGTGTGCAAATTTTGATCATGTGACCACAAGGATGCTGCAATGATCCAAAGTGTGAAAAGCGGTCATAAATCACTTCAAACAGTCACTAAATGAATGGTTGTAAATTGAGGATGGCCTGTATTGTTTTATTTGATCTTCTTACTGTAAGGAAGGAAGGAAATGTAAGCCCCTTAGAATCTCTCTGGATTGGAACAACGTATGAACCCTATTAAATATTCTATAACCTTGATCCATACCATACCAGGAAATCAGGCCTGATACACCTTTTTTTTTTAAAAAAACTTTTTTTTACTTTTTTTGCAAAAATACAAAAGATTTGTATTTTGATACAAAACAGACAAGAAGAGTAAGCTCTGATTGTCTGCTGATTCTGCAAGTCCTGTACTGTAAATGTGCAAGGAAGTAAATACACTTACTGTATATTCGTGGTGATTATAAATATAGAGAGCTCCTTTCGTGAAGGCACCAGGCTAGAAACTGGGAACTATTGAGCTTTTCCTGCCTTAGCCATGAAAGCCAGGTAGGTGACTTTGGGGCAATCCAGGGGTGAAATCCAGTAGGTTCTGACAGGTTCTGGAGAACCGGTAGCGGAAATTTTAAGTAGTTCAGAGAACCAGCAAATGCCATCTCTGGTTGGCCCCAGAGTGGGGAGGGAATGGAGATTTTGCAGTATCCTTCCCCTGGAGTGGGGTGGAAATGGAGATTTTGCAGTATCTTTCCCCTGCCACACCCACCAAGCCACGCCCACCAAGCCACACCATGGCCACCAAGCCACGCCCACCAAGCCGGTAGTAAAAAAAAATTGGATTTCACCACTGGGTCAATCACTCCTTCTCAGCCCAATTCACTTCCCAGGGTTGCTATTGTAGGAAAAATAGAAGGAGTAAGTAGTGTTAGATATCCCAAAGGTGCTTTTTCAAGACGCAACTGGACCTTCCTTGCTTTTCTTTGAAGATGTTTCACTTCTCATCCAAGAAGCTTCTTCAGTTCTGCAAAAGCACCTGTTGAAAAGCACCTTTGGGACAACCATGACTTGGATGACAGAATCTCCATAGAGTGTTAGGTATGTTTGCCACCTTCCGTTTATTTATAATAATAATGAAGGCGGGATATAAATGGGTAAATAAATAAATCCACTTCTTGAAAAGCCTTGACAAGAAAACTGCAAGGACCTATCCAGGCAAGGACCAAGGACTCAACATTGAGGCAAAAGTACACACATATTTAGAGAGCCGGTTTGGTGTAGTGGTTAAGGCATCAGGTTAGAAACCGGGAGACTGTGAGTTCTAGTCCTGCCTTGGGCACAAAGCCAGCTGGGTGACCTTGGGCCAGTCACTTTCTCTCAGCCTTAGGAAGGAGGCAGTGGAAAACTACTTCTGAAAATCATTGCCAAGAAAGTTGCAGCGACTTGCCCAGGCAGTTCCCCAAGAATCAGACACAACTGAATGTTAGAAAAAAATATTATAAATAATCAGAACAGGCCATTCCAGCCTCACTTCGTTTTCATGGTAAAATCAGGTCCCTTGTCTTCTTGAGTTGCCCCTGGAAATTAGTGCCTCTTTTCCTAGGATTATATTTTTATCTGTTTTATTTTAATACGGTGGTGCTATGCAAATGGATAACTATGGCTGAACGTAATATTGGATGCAACATTCGGCTTCCTGAAAACTTTTATCTTTTCAAATGGAATTTTCATGTGGTTCCTTGTGGTTAAAGGAAAACATAGGAGTGTATATGCGCCAGCAATAAATTTTTTAGAAACAATTAAATAACATTTCTAGTGAACAGGAATGTAGTTAATGTGTGTTACACAGTCTCCTCATGGGAGAAGCAACATAAAACAGCGCAAACACAAGGAAAGCAGGAACATAATCTTTATTTGCATAAACTTAACAGCTCTTAACTTTTTGGTTCCTTAAAGCAAATTGTGGGGGGAAAAAAAACGAAAAATGAAGAGGTGCTGGTTTTTGCAAATGAAGAACATGCATTTGTTAGTGGCTTTCTCATAAGGTTACTGCCATCCGTACAGTAGCTCAGTACTATTGTTAGAAAAGCTGAACTTCTGTATCCTCTCAAGTTTTGGAAAGTAGGAAGGAATGTTCTTTGTGACTGATTGCTAGCAGCAGTATCTATGTCATGTTTACTCTTTTAATCCAAATATTATATTGGGAGTTCAGGTGTGTGAGACTGTGTGAAGGAAACCAAGGAGCAGGAGATTTAGTACATACGAGATGAGGCAACACAAGCCAGTTGTGAAAGCTCTGGAAAGAAAGCGCTTCAAAAAGAATCCACTTTAGTGAACTCACAGTAAGTCTGGCTGGAAATGTACTCTCACAGTTTTCAAGATTAATATCTAGTTAGACTTGCATCCAAGAGGCCTTTCTGAAATCCGAGTGATTTCTTTGTTTCTTTGGTTTGCCAACTATGTGAGGCTGGACAACATGCCATTCAGATTCCAATGTTTGGAGTGGCATTTAAGAGGAAGGGAGGAAGGAAAGATTGATTGGTCACATTTGACAATTTCTGGGTTTTCAGCAACTATGAGTTCAGCAAAAATTTGCTGACCTATCTCTAGAATGTCTTCTCTCCTTCCTCTGTGTTCATGAGGCAGTACAGGACTCAGATGTTTCTTTTTTTCTAACCAGGAGAGAGCCATAAAGCTGTTTTAATAGTAAAAGGACTGACTGTGTTCCTACTGCTGTGCAGGTAATCCTTGGTTAATGACTTGTTAAGCAACCGTTCGAAGGCACTGAACAATAGTCCTCAAAGTTCTGGCTGTTCCAGACCCACTCCACCCCCTTCACATAACTACAATCGGGATTCTTGGCAAGTGGCTCAGATGTATGACTGCTGTAGTTTTCTGCAGTCTTATGATTGCCGCTTGTGACTTTCCCTGCTGACTTCCTACAAGCAAAGTCAATGGAGAAACCGGCAGAGAAGATTGCAAATTGCTCCTTTAAGTTGCTCCCATTTTCACTGCTCTTTCTCCCAAGGACTCCAACTACAGAATAGCTCCGTGGTGCACATCCATAGCATCTCCTGCCCACAATTCATAGTGTCAGCCCTGGAGGCCATCTTTTCTTTGGATCTTCAGGGCTGCCACATTTAGTGCTGTGGGAAACTGGGAGTGGGGATTGTATGGAGCTGGGATGATATCTAGCCATAATAACATTCTTTTCTCTGAGAGTCAAGGACATTCTGCCCTGCATCTGGAGTGGCATGACTGGGAGGCATCTCCAGATGGGACGGTGCATTGATTGGACCATGTGGTGGACATGTGGGTGCAGGGGAAGGGACTTGGACTTCCTTTTGGTTGGGGAAAACCTGGAACCTTTCAGAACTGGGTTTTCTCAGATGTGCCAATATGACACCTCTAATAAAATGGAACTTTGAGGAACTTTTACCCTCGGAGTCTTCTTTTGTTGGGGGTGTTACTTGGAACCCTGACACATAGTTCATACATGCCTGGCCACAATGGCACAGTCCCGCAGTGGCTGCCAATGCCCCTTCATGCAACTGGCAGCAGCCACCTCCGGCCCCACCATGCATATGCTATAGCAGGCACTTAGCTGCCAACTACTGGCTTCCTCGCAGGACTTGCAACTTCCTGCAGCTTCTCCACTGATTTTACCTGCTGGAAGCTGTCAGGAAGTTGCAAGGAGGTCCTTGCTTAACAACTTATTATGCCTTGGGGACTGCCTGGATTGCCGTGGCTAAGTGATGTAGTCATATAACATTGTACATTATGACTGCATTGCTTACTAATGGGAATTCTGGTCTGATTTACCATTGTTAAGTGAGAATTACCTGTAATGTATTCTTTCTTTTAAGAGAGCTAGCTTGCTTAGCCCTGGTACTTATATCAGGGCTTTAAGACATTTTAATAGAAGTTGCAACATGAGCCAGCCAGCAAGTGAATGGGTCCTATAGTTTGGAAGGGGGTTCATCTCCCTTGCCCGCCAGATCTATTGCAGGAACATAGCATGCTGTCCCAGATGCACACACTTGGCATCTATCTGTAAATTTATAGGATAGAACGAAAAATATCAGAAGTCATGTGGACATCATAGGAGATTTTTTTAAAAAAAGTTCTAGCCATAGGAATACTGATCTTGAGTGAAATATCGAATTCCAATAGTTACATCTTTTTTAAAAATGTGATTTTGAGTTCCCCTAAGAGAAAAAGCAGTCCACTCCTACAATGCTCTGCCTTCTTGCTAACATAAGGAGTCTACCTAGTGAAGGTGGAAATTGGAATTCTGAATTCTGCCCACCACACATTCAGGAAAGCAATTGGTTGTTAGCTTTCCTGTTGATAAGTGACATTGTGTGAGAAGAGAAATAATCTATCGCTGCTCTGAAAGTATTCAGCATGACATTATTTGAGGAGAGTAACACTATTGGCCTTGTTGCTGAAGAGTGATAAAAGCAGATGGGGAGGACATGATTTTTATGTTGACAAACTTTCTTTCCTGTATCAAGGATGGAGGAACACTTATAAATGTGGCTGTATGGATAATCCTTGTGTCAGTCTTCGCTGCAGAAGCCATGCCTCTTGAACCAAAATTTTCCAGAACATGATCCGAGGAGCTGATGCCATTAGGTTGACAAGAGATGAGTTTTTAGGACTTACACACAGTGCAGTGAATTATGAAAATTCATTGCATACAAATGATCTCTCTCTATTTAAGGTTTGTTAAAGGATTTTCAAAGGCTGAAGTTAAAAACGTTCAAGGTGCGTGTATTAACCATTAAAGCCCTTCAGGTTATGGGGCCAGATTATTGAGAGACGGGCTTTTCTTGATTTTATCTGCCCACCCCACCAGATCCAGCAGAGAGAGGATATGTTACAGGTTCCGTCAGCTAAGAAGCTACATTTGGCAGGGCTCTAGGCAGTCAGCCTTTTCTAATGTGGCACCCATATTGTGGAATCTTGAATACCAAAGTAGGAAGGGACCTTGGAGGTCTTCTCATTCAACCCCCTGCTCAAGCAGGAGACCCTATACCTGTGATGGCGAACCTATGGCAGGTGGCACGCGTAGCCATATCAGTGGGCACACCAGCTAAGGTCTGGCGTATATGTGTGTGCCGGCCAGCTGATTTTCGGGCCTTCTGGGCCCACCAGAAGTAGGGAAACAGGCTGTTTCCTGCCTCCGGAGGGCCTGGGGGTGGTGGGGCAGGCCCATTTTTCTTTCTCACCTTGCTCCACCCTGCGCATGCGCGTGCAACCAGCCCCCCCTTCCCCCCTGCTCCTGGCAGCCGAACTACTCCAGAATGGGAACATTCTCCCCAAGGTAGCTTGGGTGTTTCCATGAGTTACTTGCACAATATAAGTCAAAAGCATTGTGTCCTTTATTTACCTCCGATTCCTTATAATAGCGCTCAGGAATTTCATCACAGGCAATATCAATGAAGCAGACTTCTCGGTCAAGATCTTTGGCTTCATTATCAAATATCTGCAAGATTTAAAACAAAAACACTTAAATGTTTTAATAGACACATATATTTTGAAGCTAAACTCTGTGGACGTTGTGTACTGGCACAACTTGTTTCAAGGAAACAAAACTACAATTTCAAAAGTGGCAGGATATGTTCTTGGTCTTGATTCCTAATTATAGGTTAGCTGTACACAAATTATGCAGGTTGCAGGCAATAACTTCAATGCACAAGCCCAAATTTACTTCATGCCCCTGACCAGTTTTCCATGTTATTCTCATAAGTGACAGAATGAAAACGTGATTCAAGAGGTAAGATGGGAAAAAACTCAAAAGGCAAGCAGCCCTTTGCCAGCCTTTTCAGAATAAAGGTAAAGGTTTCCCTGTCCAGTCGTGTCTGTCTCTAGCGCACAGTGCTCAACTCAGTTTTTTGGCCAAAGGAACCAGACATTGTCCAAAAGACATTTTCCGTGGTCATATGACCAGCATGACTCTATGCCAAAGGCGCACGGAACACTGTTACCTTCCAAATGAAGTGGTACCTATTTATCTACTCGCATTTGCATGTTTTCGAAATGCTAGGTGGGCAAAAGCTGGGGCAAGTAACAGGAACTCACCCTATTATATGGCACTTGAGTCTCAAACCTGGCCTGTCAGCTTTCCAGCTGACAAGCTAACCGCTGAGCCACCGCACCCCCTTTCAGAGTAAACCTATTGTTAGTCTCCATTTCTATGACCATGATATATGCTTATAAAACATTAATGCTATTTTTGAATGAATAAATACATATCGTACAATCCACAACTTCTGGGCTAAAAAGAATGTCCAATTGGATTGGATTTGGGGGAGCAGAGGGCACTGAAAATTTACAGAATTTGCTTCATTTATGTTCTAACCTAGGCTTCCCCAAACCACGAAGCAGACTCCTTATCCCGACAAAAAACCCCTTTTATTAAGTTACTGTGAATTCTTCTCATTCACATCCAGCAAAGTCTTTCAAGGGTGATTTTACAGTCACAGACCTTATCTGGCTTGGGGAGCTGCCAGGCCGATATCTTCAAAAGTTGGCAAGGAGTCACGGAGAGTCATGAACTGAACCAATTAAGCGAACTAATTGTCTCCTGCAAACTCCACTCCCATTTAGCTCCTCTTTTATTCCCTCTGGGAGGGGCCATTCATTGTCCACCTGTGGCCTTACTCCCAAGTCGACCCTTGTTCTTTAGCTATTCCCTTCGTCTGGCAACTCTGTGCATGCGCATACTGGGAACAGACTCCAGCTATTCGTCTGCCTCACTGATGTCTGACTCAGAAGGCAGCTGATAACTGGCATCCAGCCCTGGCCCCCTCTCTGCCTTCAACGCAGAGCCCTCATTAGAGACTTCCTCAGACTCCAGGACTGGTCCATGTTCCTCCCCAACCTCCTCACTGTACGAATCTGCTGCCAGCTCTGCTGGCTGCTGGTGGGCCACAACAATTTATTTCTTGAAGCTGCCTCATCTTTCCTAACCTCTGATGTGTCACTCATTCCAGTGGAAGGCTAACCATTAGCCCTAATCAGCCAGTCCCTCTGAGCGACAGGCTCTGGTATCAAGATACCCCATTATCCATGGAAAGCAAATCAAATATTCCTGGCATTCAGAACTGCCTTTCTGCCCTCTCTTCCTGGCTATGTAAATGTTATACATAAATAGGACAAAGGCCTCTAAACACTTTTCTCAAGGGAATCTTCTTGTAAATTGCTTTCCATGGGGCTGCCCTTCAAGTTGATTTGGAAGGTACAAATGGCAAGATTGGTGCAAATGAACAGAATAATCCCAAATATTGTAAGATTCTATTCTAGGTAGTGGTTATTACCCATACTAATGTTCATTGTTCAGGTCCTTAGTACCTTCAGGACCACGTGCTCCAGGGAGAATCGGTGGGTCAAACATGTGCTGTGGCTGCCTGATAGTGGATGCTTACCATTCCCTGAATATTAAGGGAACAGGAGCCCAGATGAAGGCCTTTTCAATTATAACCTCCTTGCTCTAGAATAGGCCATACCTGGTTAGAACTCTTAGGAAGGCTGTTAACTTAAGGCAGTTCTTCTATAAAAACTTTGGAATGGAACCTATTTACTATTTTGTAATTTTATTGCAACTTTTATGGCTCCATCAGATGATAAAATCACCCAGAATTGTCAGCTGAGCTAGCACACAAATAACAATGAAACTAAATTAAACCAAACGCCTTTCATTGAAACAAATGATTTATTTTTCTTTTTTCTATTCCTTCCTCCTGCTGGTTAACAACAACAACAAAAAAGTTAAAACTATATTGGCTTTTCAACATATCCATTTGCAAACATTCAAAGGACTGTGCACGCATTGGATAAGTATGGATGACCAAACTCATCACCACTTTGTAAAGCGGGCTAGTGTGATAGCCTTGTCTTGTAGGGAGGCAGTAGCTTGACTAAGGTTCATCAGTTGAATATGAATGTCTGATGAGAGATTTGAGTTACAGATCATCTGCCTAACAGCTGTATGGCAAAGAACTCTGCTATCCATAAGATATTACTTTCATCTTCCCGATCAATTTTAAGTGGATCCTAAATCTAATAGATTTCACTCCTGGGATGTCTGAAGTTTTTATTCATGTATAATTTACTCTTATATTCAGGTGGAGGTTTAATCTCTTAGCTTGAAACACTCTCTGCTGTGACAACATGGCCTGTGCATTTTTGCTTTGATTAGTTTATCTAATATTTTATTGTATTTTAAATTATTTTAGAGGGTATTTTTTGCTTTGATATTGTGAAATTTATTAAAGTAAATAAATAGCTACATCAGAAGTAAGAAATGGAGCTATTTATATACTAAATCAATGTAGATAATTATTGCTTCTAGCCAAATATTCTCTGAAATATTTAAGAGCCTGTAGAGGGGATAATTTCATTAATTATGCAGTTGAGCTGGGGATATTTAAAAGATTTTTTTTAAAAGGAAGATTAAAGTTCATGGGGAAAAGCAGAAGGCTTTCCAATCGGCTTTTTTTGTGCTGGCAAAGAGCAGAAAGCAAATGGCAAGAACATTCTGTGTTCTTAACAATGTCAGGATTGTAGAACAGACTCATAAATATTATGATATGAAAGAGAAATTAGAGAGGCTTGTTTTTCTAAAGTAATGTAATATAGCAATATAAAACACCTATGACTAAACCAAATCAAGAATTCTCAAGAACCAAAAGTGAATTATAAATTATAACCTTTCTAAAAATGTCAGCCATTTCTTTTTTTATTATTGTATTTACAAAGCTATTGGCCTATTCTCAATGGTAATGAAATCCAGTGGAGGCTCACACTAGAAGAAAAAGAAGAAAGCAATTTTTGCACATTCTTTCTTCTCCATTCTCTTATGTTCTGGAACATTCCTCATCTTTTCCAGAGCAGATTTTTAGGAAGCATAGGGGAATTGACTTAAATTGCCCTGTTCTTTAGCAGAAGTGGTCAAGGTAGTCTGAATCTATTTTTTATTGCACAGTCAAGACAGAATTTGGACCAACAGATCAAATACTGTACAGACAGAAATATAGGAATAACAGAATAACAGAGGTGGAAGGGACCTTGGAGGTCTTCTAGTCCAACCCCCTGTTCAGGCAGGAAACCCTATAGTACCATTTCAAACAAATGGTTGTCCAATCCCTTCCACTGTTGGAGCATTCACAACTTCTGGAGGCAGATTGTTCCACTGATTAATTGTTCTAACTGTCAGAAAATTTCTCCTTAGTTCTAGGTTGCTTCTCTCCTTGATTAGTTTCCATCCATTGCTTCTTGTCCTGCCTTCTGGTGCTTTGGAGAATAGCTTGATTTCCTCTTCTTTGTGGCAGCCTCTGAGATATTGGAACACTGCTATCATGTGATTCCTAGTGGACTACAACCCATTTTTTAAAAATTCCAAATGAAATTTAGCTGTGATCCCTGAACATTGCTGGCTGAGGAACTATAGAATTTGGCAAGAACTCTGTTATATTAGTAGAATATAAAATAAAGTGCTGCCATTAAAAATATGTTAGCAGAATCCTGGAAAGGCTGTTATTTTAATTCAAGTCACACACATAAAGTCTTCAGGTTGCATTCTCGGTGTTCCTAAATCAGTTCATTATGATTAGGATCCACCTTTTACAATATATTAAAAATTGCATTAATGAGAGAAAAGATTCTCTGAGCTAATGAATATTTTAAATCTTAACTGCTAACGTTCATCAACAGACTCCAAATGAAATAAAAATAATAATCCAGACTGAGAGGTTCCCCCCCGAATCCTAGATTAATACACAGTTTGCCTCAGTTTTCTAGAGAGTAATTTTCATATTTGCATATACTGCCAGCTACTCCCCAAATACTGTATGACCACATGTAGTACAGTAATATAACCTTCTGGTCGTCCCAAGGGACAATAAATAAACAGAGGATCAAAGCTTTGAAAGGCTATTTCTGTAGTTTAGAGAACGTTGTCCTCTTTTCCCATTATCTATTATGTATTGTATTAATAAGATGTAACAAGATTAGAAACGTATAGTATGTATGATTGTGTTCTTACCATTTAGCTTTCAAATGGTAAGTAATCCTGCTTACTTTTGCTCTGTGCTCACTTAGCCTTTACTGCTAATCGATCAATGCGTAAGAGGAGGAGGGGAAGGTATTAGCAGGTTAGTTGTAGAGACTGACATTGATTAGGGCTGTGACAAATGATTCTTTGGAAGGGCAGATACTGAAGCTCAAATACTGTGGCCACCTAATGAGAAGCAAAGGACTTATTGGAAAAAGACCCTGATATTGGGAAAGATTGAAGGCAAAAGGAGAAAAGGACGGAAGAGGATGGGATGATTGGATAGCGTCATCGACACAATGAACATGAATTTGGATAAACTCCGGGAAACAGTGGAGGACAGGAGAGGTCTGGCATGTGAAGTCCATGTGATTGCAAAGAGTTGGACATGACTTAATGATTGAACAACGACAACAAATGACAACTGACGG